TCTCATTCTCTTCACCCTCCCTTTCTCATCCTCCTCCTCTCTCATGCCCACCGCACACTTTACGATTTTACTGCGACTCAATTTCAGAACAAATGGCAATTATACTAGGCAAATCTAGACACACATCATCTTCTTCAGTTCTAAATTATAATATGAAATCTAACAACCTTAATCTTAGTGCATAGTCTTCTAGTCAGAATAAAAGCCGAATCGGCTTCGAAACAATCATAGACAACCGCTCTTGACATCTAATTGAAGCTTATATATAGAGAGAGATATATATAATAGTTCTCATATGCAAATTTTCCTCTGTTAAATGCATAATAAATTCTTTTTGGAGGGTTGGCAATGAAAATAGATAAACAGTAGAAACATACCATGAATAAAGAAATAAACAGCTTGGTCGATTTGTTTTGAAGCATTATCTTCAAAAACCCGGATAGCTTAAACTGTATTATCTTTAAATATAACGTCCATAAAATCACTCTGAGATGGAAGATACTACCAATACGAATTGCATTATACAACGTCTAGACATAGCCTAAAGGTCGAATCGCAACTTTATTTTTCTTATTCTTGTTGTACATTTCGAAGCATCGCATGGGATCTTAATTACTGTCTTTTCTACATACATCAATGCCCCTATAAATTATCTGGTCACACTTCGAAAAGTTCGTGGCCTAGAATTTCGTTTCTGTGATGATCAAATAAAGAAAGCACCCTTTATAGATGAGGGAGAGCGTGAAAAAAACACACAATAGGAGCAGTGTAATTTAAATATCAAGGGATGGATTAGATTTTATTTCTAAAATGAAATGAAAGGGCTATTTTACTTTCAAGAGCCCTTTCATTCCATTTTTAGAGATAACCTCTCTTTCTCTCTTACATTGTTATGTAACTAATCAAGTTTGGCCCAAGTATAAATATGAAACATAATAAATCACCTGGTTTAGATGGATATACCGTCGAATTTTTTAAACATTTTTGGAAAGAATTACACATATTTTTAGTGAGATATTTGAATTCTGCATATTCATCAGGAATGTCCTATACACAGAAATTAGGAGTCATCTCTTTAATTCCCAAAGGAAAAAAAGATAGACATTACTTGAAAAATTGGAGACCCATATCTTTATTGAACGTGGTGTATAAATTAGGTTCCGCTTGTATAGCAAACAGATTAAAGAACGTACTTCCTTTTCTTATACATGAAAATCAGAAAGGCTTTATGTCAGGGCGCTTCATTGGAGAGAATATCCGTTTGTTATATGATATATTACTGTACACTGATATCAATGACATTCCTGGTTTATTGCTGCTTATAGATTTTGAAAAAGCATTTGATTCTATTTCTCATGATTTTATTAGAAAAGTATTGCACTTTTTTAAGTTTGGTCCCTCTATGGTAAAATGGGTTAATGTATTCTATGAAAATGCTCAATCCTGTGTATTAATCAATGGACACCTGTCTCCACGATTTTCAATAGAGCGAGGTTGTCGTCAAGGAGACCCCATGTCAGCTCTTATCTTTCTATTATGTGCCGAAATACTAGGTCTTTTGTTTAGAAATTCCGATTCCATTGTTGGTTTGAGCTTACCTGGTAGACAACTTAAATGAATTCAATATGCAGATGATACTCTTCTTACATTGAATGGGTCAGTAACGGAATTAAACAGTGCATTAAACATTTTAGATAAATATAATGCAATGTCTGGTTTAAAAGTTAATATACAGAAGACACATGCGATTTGGATTGGAGGATTTAAAAACAAGAAAGATGGTGTTCTTTTGAATAGAAATCTAAATTGGGTGTTCGATGATTATTTCAGATATTTAGGTATAGACTTTTGTACGGATTTGCCCAAATTGATAATTCACAATTATAATGAAAAATTTAAAGAAATCAAAAGTCAAATGACATCGTGGTTAAGGCGATACTTAACTGTTCTTGGAAGAATCACTGTCGTCAAGTCATTGTTGGTATACAAATTAAACTACCTTTTTTTGTCCCTCCCTAATCCTGGTGAAAATCTTTTGAAAGATATAAATGCTCACTTTTATAGATTTATATGAGGGGGGGGGGGGGAGAAACCTGATAAAATAAGTAGAAATCAAATGTCACAAAGTTACTCAGACGGAGGGGTTAAAATGATAGATATATACACACATTGCCAATCATTAAAAATTTCCTGGATTAAGAGATTAGTAATTGGCTCAATGGATAGCAATATCCTCTGTCTTTTGCAATCTTTCTTGCCTGAAGTGCAAGATTTAAAATTATATATGGGAAACAATTATTTTCGGGAACTGGCAGGTAAAACAAAAAACCTTTTTTGGAAAGATATGTTCATGGCTTATAGTACGCTCTTGTCCATGCATTGTGATAACATTTCTTGCCAGCCCTTATGGAATAATGACTACATTAAAATAGGCAATAGCTCAATATATAATAAAAAATTGTGTCAAAAGGGAGTTCGTTTTGTCAATGATATTTTAGACAAAAATGGTGATTTTTTTCTCTCTGGAACACTTCCAAGATAAGTATAATATTCAAATAAATTTTCTTTTTTATCGTGGATTATGCGATGCAATTAGACAAGGGTTTAACAATGTACTATTTTTAACAAGGTGTCACAACCTCTTTTCCCAGATACAATGGCATTTGTTATGAAACGTATTAAAGGATGTTCACATATTTATGCAATTTTATTAAAGAGAAGAAAAGGACTATGTAAAAGTTTTCTTAAATGGAAATTGATTTTCGACCTGAATGATAAGAGTTGGGAAACATATTGTTCTATTGGATTTAATTGTACCATTGATGTGGGCTTACGATGGTTTCAGTTTAAAGTCATGCAACGCATATTATATACGAACGATCTACTGTTTAAAATGAATTTAGTCCCAAGAAAAGAATGTACATTTTGTAATGAACAGATTGAAACAATTATACATCTCCTATGTGATTGTACGCATGTTAAAAATATTTGGGGTAGGTTAGAACACTGGATTAATACTAGAACCGGAAATAAATTAACATTTTCATTACAAGATAAATTATTTGGTTTAAAAGGTTCAAATAATTATGCATTGAATTGTATACTGATTGTGGTGCGACAGATGGTGTATACTTCCAAAATAAAAAAACAATTGCCCGACTTTGATAACATTAGAGTTTCGATTTTAAATTACTTCAAAAACGAAAAGTATATTGCAAATTCGAATTGTAGAAATAATAAATTCACAAGAAAATGGTTTCAATTCAGGAATTTGTTTACTTAAAATGATATTTTTTCTGTATTTGTTTTTCTTTACATGAGTGTCAGAAATGAATTATTGATTTGTTAGTTTTCTCAACAGTTCAACAATACTTGTATTTTTAAAAGCCAATTTCATTTATGTTATAAATGTAAATTACCTTGGAAATATATTTTGTATGTGTTTCAAATGAAAATCAATAAAATCCCTGTGGAGGGAAAAATATGAAGAAAAAAAAAAGTTTGGCCCCAATGATCTATTACATTAAATTAATCAGTAAGAATCATTACAAATAATCATTGAATAACATAGAAGTATTTTGATATTTGCACTAACCTAGACAATTTGGATTGAATTTTGAAACTTTGAAACGCTACTATTACGACTAGTCATGTTATCGCTTATTTAGGAGCGCTAAAAACAAAAGTACCATATCTCTTACAAAATCGCAGAATTCAAAGAGAAACCTAAACTGTCTACGTTATTAATTAACATACACTGGTGTGTCAGATATATTGTGATCATTCACAAAGGAAAGGCCAGCTCACAAATAAATTACATTTCCTCTCTCAGCTCTCTTTATGTTCATGTGACCTTTGGAAAAGTTCGTTCCCGATTTTGGCGCATGCGCAGTGTGCAATTACGAACTCGCTCATTCAATACACTGGGCCCATCCTATGAAAATCCCGAAGCAATTTGATAATGTCTTGTCCCTCACTTGCCATTTAAAAAAAGTAAATATTACATTTTTCTTATCAATGCCTCATTTCAATTGATTTATAATGTCATATATGGTTTGAAACCCATTAGATTACTAGTTCTTGTGCCTTTAAATAAAAAAATTAATGTCGTTTTTGCGTTCGTTTTTTTGTTTTTTCATTGTTTTTTTTTATATACATCTACACATTTCATATTTTTGTAATTGATTTTGCCGTTGATAGGCCCGAGGCCTTTGCAATCCTAACATAATTGAATTTGTTTGTGTTTTATACTTGTTATTTCTCTTTTAATGTAGGTTATTGTCATTGTGATTGTTCTTTTTGTTCAAATGTGAAAATAAAATGAATTGAATTGAATTGAAAACTACCATAGGCTGATTGTTGTAAGGGGGAGGGGGGGGGGGGTACAATGACCCCTGTTTCACCCTACGGTCCATCTCACCACGATTTCACCTGTAATTTTGCACAGGTGTCCTAGGGTACGTTTATGCTCAACTTTTTTCGGCCAGAATGAGGCATTTGTTATGCGTTTAGTTCAAAACATGGTTGCGTCCTTTCTCATTTTTGTAGAATCACAGAAAAACGGCGATTGTAATCGCCGATCGTAAACTCACTAAAAGGTGTGTTTTGGATCGGCGATTCTGGGGAAGCATAAACGCACAATCGTTTGTAAACGCGTTTAAATGGGGTCACTGACGTAGTGTGCGCAGTGCAGGTTTGCGAATCTAGACTCTGCACTGCACTTCTCTGGCTCCTCCAGGCATGATTCTGGCTCTGAGCCAGAATCATGCCTAGAGAAGCCAGAAAAGTGAGCATAAACAGTACACCGTGGAACTGCGATTACGATGAGCGTTTCAAATCGCTCATTCTGCCTTCAAAATTGAGCATAAACGTACCCCTAGAGAGGTTATGAAGTACTCGTAGTGCATATACATTTCATTTCAAAGGAAATTTAAGACGACTATACATTTTGATAATGATTTCATTTCATAATTATTATGACTTTCATCACAGAGTGGGCCTAACATCTGACCAGGACTAATCGAATTGCGACCAAATCTCATCCCCTCTGATAATGGATAACCTGCGAGCTGTAAGATCTAAACTGCTCACCAGGCTAGCTTCGACTGGTTTAATTCGACATCCTGGGAATGGGGAGGATATTGAGCTTTGTCCTAAGGATCAAGTTGTTACTCGCGAGTATGTATCGTCATTCATCCCGCCATACGTTCAAGAAAATGAAAGTCAGAAAACAGAAATACACAGAAAACGTACTAAAATAATCATGAAAAAAGTTGAAATATGTCCATAAATGATAGAATAACTTAAAACCTTGTAATGATTTTAAAAATTATATAGGCCTATTCGTCTGTAAAAGAAGAGGAAAAGAAGAATGGAAAATGTCAAAATTTCGTTTTAACATGTTAAAAAAAATGTGAGAGAAATTGTATTTTTGTGTTTATAATGTCGCCACTTGGTGGTTGAACCCTTCTGTCTTCTTTTCTATCTCTTTAGATACACGAATGATCTGACGTCACCTGCTGATGATACCCCGGATGCTGAGACACCGAGCGGCTCTTCTTCTCACACCCTATCTGATGGAAGTGTGTTAGAAGCGAGCACGGAATCAGATCATCTTCGTCAAATGGACGAAGATTCGGGTAAAATATTTTTTATCCCGGGTATTTTCACCCCCTTTATTCATAAACAAAATTTGTTTTACGCTACTGAAGATGCCCACTCCCTCCACTTTTTGAATTGCCTTTCAAGTTTGTAATCGTTCAGGTGAATTTAAATTCATTTTAAACATGCGTGAAATATGCATCATATGAGTTGCATCAAATGAAAGAGGAGGATCCCCAGCAAACACAAAACGTTTTTAGAACGTTTACAGAACGTTCTTATCAGGTTCCGTACGTCTTCGTCCATATTAAACGTTTAAAAAACGTTTATATAACGTCTAAGTTGGGACTTTACATTCGCTGCGGAGCTAGGTCTTTTGAAGACGTTCAGAAAACGTTTTTTGGACGTTACAAATTAAACGTTCTTGGATAGGTCCTGTAAAACGTTTACAGAACGTTTTATTCAGACGTATTTTGTTGAATTTATTTTTTATGTCCAAATAAATATTTCCTAAAAAATACCAGCTGGCGAAATTAGGCCACATGCATACGCATAGGGGGGTCGAGGTATGTCAAACTGATGCACTCCAGTGGCGTAGCGATGTAGGGAGGCACGTGCCCCCAATAATTTTGAGGAAAAAAAATAGAAAACATAAGGTGACATTATTTTGAAGAAAAAAGAAATACATAAGGAGTGACCCCTCCCCCTCACATAATGTTTGTGCCCCTCCCCCCCCCCCCCCCCCAGTCAGTCCGACCGCGCTACATTATGCTCCATTCAACCACGTGTATACAAAGTGCGTACGCACCGTATATAATCGTACCACTAGCTGTATAGGTCAGTGAATCGTATCCGGCGCGGCCGGTGCGGCGCGCTCGCTCCAGAGCTTGCCGCGTGTTTTAAACTGACTGACGAGTTGACTGCTTGATGACGTGACTTCGAGATTTCAAATAATCTGTTAGACTGCGACACCGAGGTAAGCGTTATTTTAACATTTTGATATCTGTAAGGAATTTAAGCTTTGTTTGATTGATTTTGAAGCATGTAAAATGAAATAAAATATTGATTATTTGCATTAAAACTAAAAGTACGGCAGACTCTATGTCGCATGTGCAGGCCGTTGAAACTTTCATTGCATTGACTGGTGTGGTAATTGGGTAGGCTAGGGTATGTGCACACATAACTCCAGGAAGCTCCGATGCCGAACGGCGTCGGAGCTTCTTGGAGTTGGTGCATACATAGCTGCATTACTATCCTGGCTGTGTGTATTAAAAGCTGTGCTATTGATACTCAACATTTCAAACACCACTGTACAAAACTCTTTCACTAAAAATCGGTACTTTAGTGACAATTGATGACACCTAAATAGCAGTAGATCTAGTCTAATAAAATACAATTTGTTCAACTTACCGATGTTATTTTGTTGGAAAGAACAATTTAGAAATTCAAATTGTTTGTCTAGATCTACTGTCAAAATTTGCTTACAGCCGCATCGGCATGATAAGTGCATTTGTGTATTATGTGTGTATTGACTATTCCTTTTGAGCAAATGCTGCCTATTATAACACGTAGTGCAGTGCTAGAGGTCAATACGCATAATAGCATGGACTCTTTGCTGGAGTGGGTATGTGCGCATGGCTCGTTACATTACATGGTAATCGGATGATTAAAACAGTCGAGTTGTTAACTTTGCTGTCTGGAAAAATCATGGAAAGTTCCCATCAGGATTTAAAATGCTATTTCGTGAAGAAAATAAGTCCCTCGACTACCAGCTCATTTCTCGACTTATTTACTCTTCCCTCAATAGCATTTAAAATCCCACGGGAATGGAACATTCCATGCTTTTCCCTCCACCACCATTTAGCAACTTTATATTATCCCACCCCCTATTACAACAGGTTTGTTTTTAGGCAATTGAAATAGCTCCCCAAACCACCTTTTTGTATGGATATTGTTTTTTTAGAAATATCGAGACCTAGATCTAGAGGCCTATCTTGTTATCAATTTCGTCTCTTTAAAAAAAATCTTTTTAGCTCAGATGACACATTATTTAAAGAAATTGATGTCCAATAACGTAGATTAATAACTTAAGGATTGATTTGTTTTATTTTTACATACAGGCAACTATGTAAAAGCGCAAAAGCATCGCCAGGAAGGCAGAGGACACGTCAAACCTGGTATCGGAAAATGATGCTGTGTAGAAGCGAAAGAGACGTCTTCCCCAGAGATTTAGCAAATCTTCTAGTGATTCCGGAATTGACGCTGGTAAGTATTTGTCTCTTGATGGTTAGTAGTGCTTGGTTCGGCCAGAGACGTATAATTTACATCTTATTTCTTGTTTTCTTCAAAATCCAACAGATGAAAACCTAAGATAATTTATTTGGGATAGCTAGACCTGCTTTGTGTCCCAGCCATGCAAAATGATGATTAATAGATGTGGCACCATTCCGGCAAAACTGGAAATTTGTAATCTAGGCATAAATTTCGGACAAGAAGTTTGCATTACCCAAAAGTTTGTTCAGTTTATGAGAATTCTTGTCATGTCTTGATATCCCTTTTAACATCTGCAATGTGTCTCTGTTTTTCAGATCTTGAATCGGTTAGGACCCAAGAAAACAACATGTACGCGGAGGAACGACTAAGGCTGTGGCAGCAGAGATACCAATGCCGAAACTGAATGCGAAGTCCAAGTCCACATCACATTTTTCAGTTCCAACCCACAACTCCAGCAAGGGCTCGGGCTTCGGAAAGTAAGTTTTTTTCAGATAGCATTTCACAAACGAAAGTTTCTGAGGGGTTTTTTATCATCAGAACATATACTGTAGAGCGTATAAACTAACAAAACAACATTTGCCATCTGTACTAAGTTGCTATACTAAAATACTGTTGGATTGGATAAGAGAGGCAGATTATCTCGGCGTACATGTAATTTATTTCATCAACAAGGCATGGGTATAGTTTTCTTACAGAAGAGTCGCTTTTAAATCCTTACAGTATTTATACTTTGTTGGAAGCGCTGCACAGGTGTCGTCTTTGAAGCTGGGTGATATATTCCTGAAGTGACTAAATTTTTCAGCTATCAAACATATCTCCCCAAAATATCCTATTAATTTGCTGTCAAACTTTTTAATGACTTGAACTGTTATTATAATGTATTTTATGTGTCTGTTTTTTTCTTCTCAGGCAATTTTCAAGTGCAGGTACTGTGTACGCTGCAGAGGCTGGAGGAAGGGCAGCAGCAGCTGACGCAGTTGGTACAAAAACTGCTTTTGTCCAAATCGGGAGCGGCGGTTGATGTGGAAGACCTGAGGGAGGCGTTTACCAAACCAGTGAACACCAAATTTTCATTCAAGGTAGATTAAGATACCTTCATTCAGGGGCAATGCAAAAATCCTAAAACTCATATTGAAACCAAATTTGACCATTTCAGCTAATAATGGAGAAACTTTATCAGCGACATAACAGTTTTGTTGGTGCATCTTTTTTAATTGAATTGCCATCATCTTGTTGAGAATGCAAGACAAAGTTGTATAGGTCTGTAAATTTACTTCTTTTTGTAAGGATGCTGAAACCGATGGCCCGAATTCACAAAGGAGGTTTGAGCTCAAACCTTGGTTTTTGTACGTCATATGACGCGTTTTACGCGTTTTTTACAAACCTGGTTTGTAAAGAACAAAAGTAGGTTTGGCGAAACAAAAGGAGGTTTGAGCTCAAACCTTTATAGTCTGAGCTCAAACCTTGCTTTGTGAATTCGGGCCAATGTGTGTGCTGCCAAACTCTCTTATAACCTTGTCTTCTATATTCATAGACCCTTAAATTTGAGTATTTATATTTGCCTGTTAATAATTCATATCAACTCATTTCTATCAGTTTATTGTAAATAGCTTTTTGTAGATTGTTCATGTGTTTTGTGTTGATTTTATATTTGAAGTAAGATGCAAGGTCCAATGCAAGGCTTCTGGGAAATATTGACCTGCCCACTAAATCTTTGGTCGATCAAAAGGACAATTTTTTACTCGGATTTAAAGGGGAAATCTACCCTAGAAATTTCACTGCTGCAATCAAAGGAGACAAATTTGAACAAAATTAAAAATAAGAAATGGGCAAACTCGGTAAGGAAACTACTCTTTTGTTTACATTTTCTAGTAAATTACTCTCGGCTATTCAAATTGACAATGCTGATGACATCTTGAGTAGCTCTAAATTCACTTTGTACACAAAATTTCACATTTTCTAACCCCCATAGTCAAAGCATGTTGTGTAGAAAGCTACTCGTCATTAGTAATCTGAACATACTCTGATTAAAAGCTGTGGAAATGTGTAACTTTAAGGAAAATTTAGAAAATATGAAATTTTGAGTACAAAGTTGATGGATCGCTACTCACAGTTGGTGTCATCAGTGTTGCCAATTTGTAGAGCTGAAACGAGTGTAGTTTCCTTGTTTTTTTTTGCCGTACTTTCACTTGAAATGTGACTTCTTAAAATAGTCACATTTTTATCACTTGTAGAAGTTGATGAGAAAGTAAATACATGTACTCTTTTGAATAGTTATAATTTGCACCGGATGATGAAGCTAATCCTGGGTGGAGGCACATAGCTAAATCGGTTATTCACATGTATTTAATGATAATTAGTGACATTTTGTTAAAAGGTTCTGGTGAATTTATTCACATTGAATTTGATATAGTACACAAAAAATTCAATCCACTATTTGGTTTTACCAAAGATCAAGACTTATTATAGAAAGATTTCTTAATCATTTGCTGGGGCATCTTTTTGGCATGAATTGCCAGGTTCTGTAAATAACTCAAATTGCTTTTATAAAGTGTGTTACCAAAGTTGATATATGTGTGCTGCCAAATTATTGACACTATTCAAAGTATTCATTTTATCTTGCCTTGTATATTCATAGAGACATAGACCCGTGAATTATATGAGTATTCATATTTGCCAGTTAATGAGGCATATCTTCAACTCATCTATCATTTTCTTATGTTTTATTTGTAGATTGTTCATGTGTTATGTATCTATAGTTTTAAAGGGATAGTTTAGTATTGGTCAAACTTAACTTTAAAACCAAAACCTGCACCATCACGGTGCAAAGTAATAATTACAAACGGCCAAGTAAAGCCCCTGTTATTATTCAAAATGACCCGTTACTTTCAGTTTCTGCATTTAATGTTTGTTAAAATAATAATTAAATAAATATCTATATCAATTGCTTTTTAAAGAACTATTCAGATTTGTTTTCTTCAAAGTAGTCTTCAAGCATTTTTAATATTTTGAATAAAAATATATTTATGGATATTTCAGCCGTTTGTGAATCGATATTGATCAAATATCAATTTATTCTGAATATTAGATTTGTATGTTCTTTCGGGGGCACTTCGGGAAATACCAATACTCTTTTTCAAATATACATGATGTACTGTATTGCCAAGCCTTTGTACATATTTTGTAAATATGTTTGATAATAAATTCATAAAATCAATCAAATACATGTGTGACCTTTATTAAAAATTCACTGTATATTGGACGTTCTCAAAAGTTTTTCTGAACGTTCTTAAAACGTTTCCAAGACATTCTAGACGTTCTTAAAAGGTTTTCTGTACGTTCTCAAAACGTTTCCAGGACGTTCTAGACGTTCGTAAAAGGTTTTCTGAACGTTTTCAAAACGTTTCCAGTACATTCTACACGTTCTTAAAAGGTTCTCTTGGACGTTCTAGACGTTCTTTAAACGTCCTGGAAACGTTCTAGACGTTCCTTAAAGGTTTTCTGGACGTTTTTAAGGTTCTTAAAACGTTCTTAAAACGTCCCAAACGTCCGACAGGTTTTCTGCAGGTCATTGCACTTAAAAGCAAATCTATAAAAGGTTTTTTATTGGTTCTAAGAACGTTTAGAAAACGTTCAAAAAACGTCCAGTTGGAACGTTCCAAAAGACGTCCAAAACCTACCACAAATAGACGTCTTTAGAACGTTTTCACAAAACGTTTAGGAAACCAATTTGGAACCTTTTAGAACGTTCAGAAAACGTCCGATTGTTAGTTGGGTCTAAGCTTTACAAATACGTGTCATTTATCAATTATAATTATGATTAAGTTATGATGAAACATCGATAATTCTCGGTTCCGTTTGTAACCTGGTTAGATCATGTAAAGCTTAGATCCTCCTCTTTCATTTCATGCAACTCATATGATGCATATTTCACGCATGTTTAAAATGAATTTGAAGAGAGGAAGCCGTTTCGTTGACAACCAGCCATAGACGAAAGACTTCATTCTTTTGTTAATTCCGTTTGTTGCTACGGCAGTAGGCCAGTGAAAACGAATTCGTTTGATAACATTATGGAAATGCAAGCACTACTTTAAACAAACAGAACTTTGTCATTCCTTGCTCATTTTTCCTGATTAAGGTGTCATATGGAAGGGCAGAAACTCAACGTTCTAAAAAAAATTCAGATACCATCCGCCAAATGACTTTTTGGTTTCCTCTCTTCAAATTAATTTTAATCACTCATGCGTGAAATATGCATGAGGCACTTTTTTTTTGGTCCAATTTTTCAGTAAATATTATGCGCCGACTCAGTCAGCCGGTGAATAAGCGGGGGGGGGGGGGGGGGGGGTGAGACCACTATTTTTTCCCCACCTAATTCGTGAGAATTTAAAAAAAAAAAAAATTGACCCGTCAGCCCCCTCCCCCTCCCCCCCCCCCTCCCCGTGGATCCGCGCCTGCAGAGGATCCGGCCGGCGAATAACCGGTTGGGGGGGGGGGGGGGCTTTTGTTTTTTGTTTTTTATAAAGGTTAACTTTACGTTATTATCCTATTGTTTTTAATCGTTTTGGAGGTCTGGGGGGGCCGGGCCGGAATAATCGCTACGTGGATCCGCCCCTGGTAGTGAGAATGATAATTGTTGGTTGTGATCAGTTGTTTACCCATTATTCTCTGGAAGAGGAGTGGGGTGGGCGGTTCCATGACACATGCTTCGCCGACGATTGCTCCGCCGACATTTACTCCGCAAAACGCGACAATTGCTCCGCGACATTTGCTCCGCCGACAATTGCTCCGCCGACATTTGCTCCGCCGACAATTGCTCCGCAAAACGTGACAATTGCTCCGGTGAAAAATGCTCCTCGAACGTCGGTAACCCGACACATGCTCCGCCGACGATTGCTCCGCCGACATTTACTCCGAAAAACACGACAATTGCTCCGCGACATTTGCTCCGCCGACAATTGCTCCGCCGACAGTTGCTCCGCCGACATTTGCTCCGCTCAAAAAGTGCCCCGTAAAATACAAAGGCTACTACGACAATTGTTTCTCCTCCCCAAAAGTACCCCATAAAAGACAATAAAATTGCTCTCTGATCCAAAAGTGCGGCCTCTTGGAAGACATGAATGCTCCTTTGGCAATTAGTGCAATAAATGCTCAGCCGTTTTTTGCTATTCCCCATAATGTTTGATTAAAAAAAAATCAAGTTATAGCTCCTTATGCAAGTTCTCCGGCGAAAAATAATTACTCCGCTCAAAATCTGTTTCATGTATTACTCATTAGCTGATCCAAAGCTCAAGGCTATCTCTCTCTCTCTCTCTTTCTCGCTCCTCCTTTTCCCCTTTTTCACCCTTTTCTTGTCTTCTCAGCTCTTTTTTTTCCTCTCATGCTATGAGTCTTCTTTCATTTTCATCACTTCTTCTCTTCTCCCCCTCTCGAGTTCTATTTCTCTCTTAAATTTGTAACGTAATGTAGTACATGTAGTACATTCTTGTTTAGCATAGTATTTTCAATAAGATCCAGTCCGTATTCTATAGTATAGGTTTCTTTACTTCAGTTAAGTGTATGTAGCTTAATTACTATATATATATATATATATATATTAGTGTGTAAAACCCCCGTCTCATTCGAGTACTTTGTTTTCACTCACGGAGCCACCGGAAGAAGAGCAATTTGCTTATCTTGAAGAACTAACATCAAACTGCAACAAAATGATTTGTATAAATGGGAATAAGCAGAAAGGCTGCCATCTAATTTTCCAGTTTGAAAGGGTTCTCTTCTTTACGTATAGATGCCCTTCAAAGCTTATTTTGATCCCTCCCCTGTTGTTTTCTAGAACTTCCATGATGACCTAGTACATTGTATAATGCTTTACTTGCAGATGGTTTACCTAGTAAGATGCATGCGCTTGCTTGCATTGAGGTCATTTCAGGTCTTACATAATTATTGATGAGCTGTTTGAAATTAACTAGGAGCTATGCGCGTATTGGGGAATGTGGCTTGCTGCTCTACTTTTTTTCAAAAAACTTCCCATGACATGTAATGAGTGTTTAGTGTACATTATATGGGACAAAGTTATTTCAGTATATATATTCGAAATTACTTTTAGGTAACTCCTTTTTCCTCCCACATCATCAACATTCATTTATTTCATTTCATCCATTATTTCATGAAATGCATTCAGAAAATGAAGAAAAAAAGAAACAAAAATAACCCGTGAAAAAAAATATTGTCGGCGAAGCATTTGTCGTAGTACTAGTCGCATTTGTATTTTATGGGACACTTTTTGGGCGGAGCAAATGTCGTCGGAGCAAATGTCACCGGAGCAAGTGTCGCTTCATGCGGAGCAAAATGTCGTCGGAGCAAATGTCACCGGAGCAAGTGTCGCTTCATGCGGAGCAAATGTCACCGGAGCAAGAGTCGCTTCAGGCGGAGCAAATGTCGGCGGAGCAATTGTCGGCGGAGCGAATGTCGAAGGAGCAATTGTCGGCGGAGCAACTGTCGGCGGAGCAACTGTCGTTCGAGGAGCATTTGTCACCGGAGCAATTGTCGGCGGAGCAAATGTCGGCGGAGCAATTGTCGGCGGAGCAAATGTCGGCGGAGCAAATGTCGGCGGAGCAATTGTCGGCGGAGCAAATGTCGCGGAGCAATTGTCGCGTTTTGCGGAGTAAATGTCGGCGGAGCAATCGTCGGCGGAGCATGTGTCGGGTTACCGGGTGGGCACACATCCGAAATTTATTTGACATGCAAAATGAAAAGAGGAAGGAAAGAAGTTAATCAGCCCATGATCGTTCTTTCATCCTAGTTCATTCCCTCTTGTTTTTTGTTAGTGCGTGGGCAGGGCACGTACCCCCTGTGCCCCTGGATCAGTCAGTGGTGGTGATGACCAAAATGCCGTATTTCTTTCTTTAGTGAGACCCAATTGTCTGTAAAATAATGTCATCCTACCAATATAATTTATCAATAATTTTGTCTTTCTGACCTTTTCCTTATATCTGAGCAGAGACGGACAAGAGCAGCGCCTGGCAGGCTTGCTGGAATGTGAGTAACTGTATGCAAGGCATCGGCATCCTCAGCCTGCCATACACAGTGAAGGAAGGGGGCGTGGCAGTTCTGGTCGACATTGTAGTTATACTCATCCTATTGAACTATACCAGCAAGGTGAGATAAGGGAATCCCCCCCCCCCCGAATGACTTTTTGACCTGATGACGTCATGTTTAACAATCAGACTTGATTGCTGTCATATCGGTATTGCATGGGAAATTAACGGGAAATATACGCCTATAAGTTGAGGAATGCCTTGGACCAAATGATTGCATAGGCCTAACCACATAGTGTTTGTTTCATGACGCAATTTCAAAGTAAGAATTATTTAAATAGACACATTTTGAAGGCTATACTGTCTTCATCTATAACACGTTACAAACTGAAATTCACCAGGAATATATATATAGTTTTACATACATAAATGCAATAACAGAATTACTGATGATTCGTCGTAAAACATTTATGTGGATTGAATGAGATAAAAAGTGTCCCTTTGCCAAGTTACATTATATGTTCACCCGCTCTGTTTTTGTGCTGTAAAATGAAAATGAAAAAACAAAATCATAAACTTCACAATCAGTCCCCTTCTAGTTTGAACTACATTCTGATGCTCCTGAGCAGTGCCATTGTTGTTTATGTTGTTGTTGTTGTTGTTGTAGTTGGGTTTTAAGGCTGTCCAATGTGAAAAGATTATTTCCGCCTGGCTATACTGTTCCCCCAAGTTATTCATCAATAATGATTAGATGGCGCTGTTTCTTTTTCTTTGGCTCAAATATTGATTCATTGGTTCAGATTACCCCCTTTATGTTCTCATTTACTGCATTACAACTGAAAAAGCGCCTTTAATGATTGTTCGGCATTTCTGTTTTTCAGATCATAGTTTACTGTAAATATGACGACGAGGATGATGATGACAACGGGTCAACGAGAATCGACACAGATAGAAAAGCTGCACTTGCATCTGATCGTCCACAGGTTGTTCGAGAGACATACGCCGACATCGCTGATGCTTGCTTCAAACATGGTGGTCATGTTATCAACGTCTTACTGATCATTGAAGTAATGACAATGGCGGCGCTGTACCTTCAGTTGTCAGGTGCTCTACTAGTAGATACCTTCCCGCAAGCTGGTTTAAACCGGTTTACCTGGACAGCTTTAATAGTCGTTGTGCTCCTTCCAACTGTACTCTTCAAGAACCTCACGAAGATATCGTGGCTGAGCCTTGTGGCTTTGATCGCACTTGCCGTGATGTACTGTAGCGTGGTGTGGTACAGCTTCGGTCGTAGCATCCGATGGAAGATGGAGAGCATCCCGCCGTTTTCCATCGAACCCGTCGCCATCAGCGTCGCCGTGCTTTCTCTCAATTTCGGAGCACAGGAGATTATGCCAGGAGTGGAAGGCAGTATGCGAGAACCTTCGCGCTTTAACGTGATGCTCAACTATTCCTACATCGTCACAGCGTTCATCAGCGTCGCCTACGCCCTCTTCGCGTTTTTGACCTTCGAGGAAGACACCCAGGAGTTCATCACCTACAACATGCCTCGAGGACCGCTCCAAGCTGCAGTTAGTTGTCTCTTCGTCATCAAGTCCATCCTGACCTACCCGCTGATGATTTTCCTCGTCGTGAGTACCATCGACTCTATGAAGCTGTCATTCTTATCCCGTTGCTATCCAGATATTGCTGAACGCTGTCCACCTATTTGGGCCATCATCTTCAGGGTTCTCTTAGTAGGTCTGTCCTACCTGATGGCAGTAGCCATTCCTCATTTCTCTTTGCTAATGGGTGTCACTGGAAGTCTTATCGCACCATGGCTGGACTATATCTTCCCATGTCTGTTCTACTTAAAACTAAGAAAGAGGAGTATAAGAATGTTGGAGAAGGCATATCTTTGGTTTATCATCATGCTTAGTGAGATAACGGGTCTCGTAGGACTGTTTTACTCGTGCAGGGCAATGATTAGAGCATTTGGAGGAGATATCAATAACGAGTGGTGATACCTGCTCACCAATAGCACAGCACATTTAATTTTTTGTTTTTCATCCTTTGTTGATGGTGATTTAAAATTACCTGATTCCCTGGTTACATCAACGAGGCCGGCACCATACTGCCTATACAGAACGAAAAATAACAAATGACATTACGGGGACATTACCCACAATGTAAAAAAAATATGTCGGTCTAGAGTCGACTTGGAGTCTGCTTGGCAGTGTGACTTGGATATGATCATATTGGAGCATATGTTCGTTTTATCTATCTTTCTTTCTTTTTCCCTTTCTTTTTTTTCTTCTGAGTAATCCACACAAATACAAGCTCTGCTTTTGAGCGCATTTCTCAGTTTCCTTTAAAGTTCTACTTAATTGATGACATACTGATATATATATATATATATATATATATATATTGTATCCTAAAATGCTTTGATTACTTACCTACATTTAATATTGTCAAATTACAAATAAGTTTCATTTTCTATTTTACGTTGCAAATTTCATTCAATATTAATGTTATGAAAGCATTCTTCCATGGTTTGATTAAGTTATAGAAATAATATAATTTGAAATGAATTCAATGAACAAACGTCTCATACCTAATGTATGATATAGGACTATGATGTAGATGTAGTGCTCAGTCTTGAAGCACGTTTGTGATTTATTTATTTATTCATTTATTCATGATTTCTTTCAACAGGGTAGTTTGATTCAGTTCCACTGGAAGCCAGTGGACCTACTTTTCAAGAAAGCCCTGCCTTATACAATAACAGTGTAAAAACATAACAGAAATAATGCAATCATTAACAATTGTACATACATGTGAAATATCGAATTAAACATATATACCTTTAAAAAGTAATATAGGATTTTCCGGCCAAATTCGCGAGTTTGTCATTTAAATAATTTGTCTTGCGCGAAGCGCGGAAGCTTAGACGTCTCTTTAAATTATTAGGAAAGGAAGACGATTTATTGTACCGTTCTCGACTGTTAACCCTTGTCTGAATGAATTCCCCCCCCCTTCCCGCGCGAAGCGCAAAAGCTTTGGCGTTTCATGAAATTATTATAAAAAGAAGACGATTTGCTGTACCATTCTCGACTGTTAATCCTTGTCTGAATTCAGTTCCCCCCCCCCCCCCCCCCCCCCCCCCCTCCCGCGTGGAAGTTTTGGCGTTTCATTAAATTATTAGAGAAAGTAGACAATTCGTTGAACCGTGCTCGACTCTTAATCCTTGTATGAATTCAGTTTCTCCCTGTCTCTCCCGCGCGAAGCGCGGAAGCTTTGACATTTCATTAAATTATTAGAGAAAGTAGACGATTTGTTTAACTGTGCTCGACTCTTATATATCTTTGTCTGAATTCGGTTTACCCCTTCCGCGCAAAGCGCGTAAGTTTTGACGTTTCATTAAATTATTAGAGAAAGCAGACGATATTTGTACCGTTTTCGACTCTTAATAAGCCCTATTTATCTGAATTCAGTTTCCCCCTCTCGTGCGAAGCGCGGAAGACTTGACGTTTCCTTAAATTATTAGAGAAAGCACACGATTGGGCGTACTGTTCTCGACTCTTAATTCTTGTCTGAATTCAATTTCCCCTTCCCCGCGAAGCGCGAAAAGCTGAGACGTTTGATATAATTATTATAGAAAAAAAGACGATTCGTTGCACCGTTTTCGACTCTTAATAAGCCCTATTTATCTGAATTTAGGTTCCCCTCTCTCGCGAAGCGCGGAAGTCTTGACGTTTCCTTAAATTATTAGAGAAAGCAGACGATTGGTTGTACTGTTCTCGACTCTTAATTCTCGTCTGAATTCAGTTTCCCCTTCCCGCGCGAAGCGCGAAAAGCTTAGACGTTTGATATAATTATTATAGAAAGAAGACGATTCGTTGCACCCTTTTCGACTCTTATTAAGCCCTATTTATCTGAACTCAATTCATTCAATATAACCAACAAATTCATTCATTCATAGACCTACACAAACATTTCAAGCATTGCAGCCCTTAAATATCATCCCCTTGTCCCTTAAGTTTTAAGTGTGAACAAATGACAACCACCGAGTAGGACTTGGGCAATGCAACAGATACCGTATTATTTATCACTCTCAATCAGATGCGTTCACAGTTTTCACACCTCTTAACAAATGTTTCTGGAATTCATAGAATGATACATGTACTGTGTTTATTAATTAAATCTAATGATATTAAGTTAGCTTCAATAGAAGCAGAACAATAATATGGGTTTCCTGTTGTACGCAGAAAATCTAAATTTTGTATTCTTTCATCAATATTCGATTTTAAACGCATTTGTTTTGAAAACCCTTGCAGAAATATGTCTTAAATTAGATCCTCTTTCACATTTGATACAATTAGAGTCAAATTTTGCCATCAAACTTTTGGGGCTCCCAACGCTTTGGAGGCTCTACACTAAAGTCGATAGGGGAGCACACTTGGTTAAAATTCCATTTACTCAGCAAACATATGATTTGATTTGATTACTGAATGCTTGTAACAAGTATGGATAAACAAATAATAAATTTAGTGTGGATAAACAATTCATAACTTTAGGAAAAAGTTGGCATTGACAAAACAGAACATATGGCCCTTCGTCTGTATCTTTACAAAAATTTGAGCTGTAGAATTTTGATTGACATGAATATCGAGTGATTAATTCGATGGATTATGCAGGTAGGAATTAATACAATTAAATCCGAGAAAAAAACATAGTATGATGCCTATAATATAGCTGAGCGTTCATATCTTGTGAAATCATTCTGCTAGCTAGATCGAAGCCTTCACCCAAGCAAGAAAAATATATCAGCATCCAAGTCGGATCTCTCATTTCCAACGATCGAGAACTTATATCAGTCGCACATCTTAACCATAAGGTAAGCTATTTTTCTACGATTACATACATTACATTGCGATATAAAAATACAATACGGTGTTTCCATCTGGGAATTTTATCACTTTTGAAATTTTCAGAAGAATACACATGGTATACTGATCATGTTGATCGGGATAATAAAGCCGGATCTTTTCGTTCCTATTCACCTCATTTTGTTCCCATTCCACTCACTTTTAAAATTTCGCTTGAAAATATTTATAGATCCTCTCGGAGCTTATCTGCAAACAAGAATTTGATACAAGAAATAATCAGTTTGATGATTTTGTGGTAACCGAAAAACTTGGACAAATCTGAAACTCTTTTTATTTTACTGGCATACAATTTGGGAAATATTTTTTCAAAATGTATGTAATAAGTGTAACACGTTTTTTCACACTACAAATGTAAAACAACAACAAAATGAATATTTAGAATCGAGTTCCTGCATGAACATGTAACTAAGGAATGATGGCTCTAGTTGGAAAAATATGTTTAGTTATGAATTTATTGTGCTTTTATCATTATTTGCCAGGATTTTATGTAGATTTTTTTTGTACTTGTACTGTTTGAAGTAAGTTACAAGTGATATTATTTGGAAAAATAGTAACATTACCTTTAACAAAATCCATTGTTTTATCGAGAATGGCAAGACGTCGGTTTATTTAAAATGTATAATTTGATTTCATATTGCATTCGAAATGACTCTAGATTAATAAATAAAAAGGTGAACGCACAACATTTATTTGATGTTAAATATACTAAATTAAAAAAAGAATTTCCGCAATGTTGGTTAGATAGATTAAGTGATGTCAATGATTTTGAAGATGAATATGATATTTCGAATCTTATAGAAATAGAAACAGGGCATAAAGTAAATGTTTTTTTTTTATGAAAGTGAAAGATTACTATCGTTTGCTAAAACGGAAAAAAGTGAAAGAGCCAATTGTCATTTATTTTTAGAATTCCTTTCTAGCTTTAAAGGTAAAGACCAGTATTGGAAACGCCCCAATTTCAAAAAATGAAATGAAAGCTCTCATTACCAATCATGTGAAAGAATATGTTTTGACTAATACATGATGATAAAAAATTTGCCGGGAAACCGCCTACTAATTCATATATTTGGTAAATTTGTTTCTCTCATGGTCTGTGAGAGATATAGGGTAGTCCCATATACATCTTTCTGTGTATAGTGCTTGTAACTTTACGAAGAATGGGCCAAATTTCTTATCATTTTAATGATTCAAGAACCTTGCAGATGCTAGATGCTAGATGATCAACCTTTTCTGATCGATTCCACAACGTTTCTTTCACAATGCAATCGCATGACCACAACTGGTCTTTACCTTTAAGAATAATGACTTTGTTTGAAAGTATGTATTTTCATTGAAAAAAACTTAAAGCAAATTCGAAATAATAAAATTAAACAGTTTTATTTCAAGATGATTCACAGGATTGTTGCCTCAGAAGAAAAATTATATAAATGACAAATTGTGAAAATAGAATTGATGCAACACCTGTGGACACGTTGATTCAACGTTTCACTTCATATCATATTGCAAAGATGTGATTATGTTTTGGAAAATAATATGTAATTTAATATTCCAGCTATTCCAATAGAACTATAAATAAACCAAATGATATAAGTTGTATAGGTAAGAACATAGGAAACAAGAAATATACTCTCCTGAATAATTTTAGATTGTGTGCAATATGCAATTCAGAAATGTTACATTAAAAAGATTAACAATGGTTATGTTATTTCATACCCGCATGCTTTGTTTGCTGTCAAGTCGTTGCTAAAATTTTGTTAAAGGAATGAATGTGTTGGCAAAGAAAATAATACTAAGCTGAAATAATTGTTAAATATACTTAAATATTCAGCCAATATCATTTTTCAATCAATCATTGAGTAATGAATGTAAATATCTTTTGAAATTATGGATATAAAGACCTCGCTTGAGCAAAGAGAAAGAATTCAAAAGCTAGTGAATGTAATAATAATAATCTTTTAAAGTCCACTCCAAATTTGATTAAACCGAAAATGGAAATTCTTTTTGCCCAATTGACCGTGAGCCCGGCAGCCACTGAGCAGCGCCAGATCGACGTTGCTCTATCCCTTTAATGTTGAACGCCAAACAAGGTAGCAGCAACTCCCGTCTTTTAACGTCTTTTGGTATGACGCGGCCAGGGTTTTGAACCCACGACCTCCCGGTTGTGAGGCGGACGCTCTACTGACTGAGCCAACACTCAAGTTCTTCCCTATTACTTCATTTATTGTTTTAGTTGTCTAACATCTTTTTGTCGTTGGTGATGGTAGTTTGGTTCTTGTATTTTTTTTGTTTAAAGTCTTAATGTGTGAACACAATCATGTATATTAGCCAGGGGCGTAAATCCGTACCGAGGAGTGGGGGGGGGGGGGGGGGGCACACTAATTTACGCAAGCGCGCTCGATCGCGCACGAACAAACACACAACACACACACACACACAC